CGGGAGATCCGCCATTGCAGGGAGACGAGATCATCGTGGATAGGAGAGGGAGATATAGGAAAGCAAAAGGGGAGCTATGGCTACGGGTAATGATGGCAAGGTGAGGGTTTTGGTATTTTCTTGAGTTTTAAATTTGGGTTCTTGATGATTAAGCTGGTGTTTTGGGGGGAAAAGCTTAAATTAAATCATGATGAATGAAACCCTACCCCCTTTTTTTTTACCCCTTTAATTAAAGAAAAGTTGCTTCTTTTTTACAAAGGTCGAGAAAGAGGTAGAAACCACCATTCCTGTTACCATCCGAAAGCTATATTCATAATAAACCATCAAAAATTGCCTTCCCATTACGGGAACTTGATTATTATACTTTTCATATCTTTACATGTCTGAAAGAATCCACCCAATTTACATCAACATGAATCTAGTACACGATACGCATATACAATGAATCGAGTTTAATTCGTATGCTTCTTTCGCTTACATGCGAAAAGTAACATTATCCAGTAACATCATCCTACTTATACAACAATGTTAATATCCTCCTGTTGACAATTCGTCAATCGTCTACGTAAGTTACATATACTATATATACTACAGGCTTCAACTGCATCAAATGTGCCAATTGACATAACGGCATCAGTTAGGTAAACTCCTAATGGCAAGCCAATTTCGACATGCTGCCAGCGGAGAGTGTAAAATAATCTAAAAAAACTGTGCTGATGATAACCGCGTTTAGCGCCTTAAGGGCTTGGCTGAAGATTTAGTTGTCGGGCTGGATGGAGATTTAGCTGTCTGACTGACTGTGCTCTTTCTCAGAACTGGAAACCAAAAAAAAAAAAAAAAATTGCAGTAAGAAATATGCTAAATCAAATAAGATGTAAGACATGGCATGTTCATGGAATTTTTCATACAGCAGGAACAAACAAAAATAAATGCCACATTAGCAGCTTTGCAATCAAAACCTACTTCACATTTATAAAAGACAGAAAAACAGAAATAGAATTGACTACAACTGTTATCCCCTTTAAATAAATGCATCAAATATCTCAGAACAAGTGCGTGTAACTAATTGACTAGGGACTTGAGCATTGCAGGTAGAGTGGTTTCTGAACATGCATGAATATTCAGCCATTTGACCGTAACAAAAACAAAACTCAAATATTTTTCTCCACCTTTTTCCTTTAAAAAATCCCTGGCATTTTGAGTTGTCTGCATGGATCATTTTTCTCCATTCAGCTTCATTTATGTCCAACTATCATTCCTATCACTCTTACAACTAGAGTGCATCTGATTTCTTTTGCACGTGCCAAATGATGCCCACACCATCTCAAACTTCTAATGTGGACGCATTCTTTATCCAAATTGAATAATAGTGCTATGTTCAGATTATGTCTGAAACTAATTTGTATGCTCCATAGTAGCAAAAGTTAGCTGTTGAAAATATGGTAGGGTATGAAAGTAAACTTTTAACGCATGGAAAGCAGACGTTTATTACAAATACAGAAGGACATCAAACGCATAGCATTTTGAAGAACACTCACCTGGAGATTTCACAGGATCTTTTAATTTTGATCTCACAGATGTTGTCTGTCCAGTCCTTGGCAGAAGTGGTTTAGGCACACGTGATGGAACTCTGGCCCTGCATTTAAGATGTGTATCGATGTTATAAGTCAAAAGACTTGGAAAAACACAATCTTTGAAATCTATAATTATCTTAACCATGATAATAAGACATCTCGTATCATTTAAAATTTATTTTGACCGTTAGTGTTGAGAAATTATTTTGGCCGTTTAAGAGACGGATAACAGTATAAAGCTCAGTTTTTGCACATAAAAATTTATTAGAACATAGCAAATGGTAGAGTGAACCATTCAATAACCTAAGATGTAAGCTTTTTATTATGAAGTATCTACAAAATTGGTTATACTCACATTTTTTCTCTTGTAGCGTCTGATGATTTGCCAGCTTCAGAGTTGGACTCAATAGTTGAACTATCAGTTTCGGCTCCCATAGATATGTCACTTAGTCTTTCCTCAGAATCTGCATAAGCAAAGCCCAATATTCACCATCACCAAGAGAATTGTCACTCTAGGTTTAAGATGAAGAGGAGGGGTTCTCACCCATATCCTTCTGATACTTTAAGTCATCCACAGACTGCTGAGAGCTATTCTCTGAATACCTATCACTGAATTCAGAGAAGTTTTCAGTATCCGAGGCACTCCTTTCACTAGATCTTGCCACCCTTCCACTAGCCAGTCGCTGCTGCCTACTTGCAAGTGAACTGCCAGAAAAGGATGATGAGTGCCTTAATGAGTTGCTTCCATTGCCAGCTCTAAGATCTTTGAGCAGTTGCAACTCTTTAATTTCCTCATCTTTCTCTGCAATTTTTCCTGTAAGGGATGCCACCTGGCAGTCCAATTTACTTGATTAATTAATCAAATATACAATTTTGAGATGATAGTTAGCTGTATAATGTTACATTATTTGGAGAAACCATTTCAGGAATACATAAATAGGGGAGATGGAGCTTATGATCATCTCTTCACAAAAAGGGATATAATGAATAGAGTAAATGAAACATAAGCATTGTGTTTGCCAATAGTGTATAGTACGTACTCTTCAGTTGTAAAGTCATTGACACAAATTAGAACTTTAGAAGTATTTTCCTTATTGTCTTTGCTTTTTCATTTGTGAAATGTGTTGCTATCATGCACAATAGTGCAAGTGTTAGCCTGCTTTAGATGTTTAAAGCTGTAATCTCCTTCGAGGACACTTACCTCGATTATGTCTCACAATTTAGTAGTTAACGGAATTTAAAAGGTACGTGTTAGAAAGAAAAGGACGAGGTCATGAAACCTGTTCCATCAAATCTTTGACATTTTTGCCCTCTTTGTTGCTCTGTGCAGCACCCAACTCTACTCCAGATACCCTTTCTGCAAATTTCAGTGTACTTACTGTCTCTGAAAATGAGGCTAAATCCGGATTTACCTGTACAAACATTAGTGTCTTTGCATGCCCGCCTGTATAAGATGATTAAATTATAAACAATTACAAGGCCACATCATTTAGAAGTAAATAATAAAAAGTAGGTACCTAAGGAACTTTGAAGAACTTGTGTCAGTTTGCTATTTCTGTATGGAACATGACTGCTCTTTTGTGCTAAAGCAAAAATGACATCACCCAGAGCAGAGAGAGACTTGTTGATGTGCTGTGCTTCCTTAAGCCTGTCTCCTGTTACTTCAGAGCGATCCACCCTCTCACTTCCAGCAAGATCGACCAGATGAAGAGAACCACGTGAACTTGATCCAGTTTTCAAATCCTTGCCCTCGACATGGATAGTAACAATGCTGAAATACAAACAAATGTAAATCAGTGCAATGTAAATGTTTTAGAAGTTGTGCAAAAACATAGTTGAGAATTAACCTGTGAGATCGGCTACTTCTTTCATTCATAGCAGTTGAACTCATTGCCCTGTTTGATTGTCCAAATTCCATCAATTCCATGACATCTGAGGTTGATTTAACTGGAAGCATACTCGCATCGGGAACAGCAACTCCTTTGGATTGAGGAGCACTTAAGATCCCAAGTGTTCGCAAGTTAAAGAGGACAATTTTCAGAACATTATGTGGCATAAAATATTTTAAATTATATCAAAATTTTATGTGGCAAAAATATTAACATTTTTTTCATATTAAACAATAAACTCTACAGAAGACCCTTCTAGGATTCTAAAGAAAATATGCATGAAAGGATATCTTTTTTGTGAAGCATTGGTTGTGAGGAGATCACGAACTTGTTCGTTATATATTTCGACCATCTGAACGCCTATTTCGTACAAGAAAGTGTTTTTTCTAGAGTGAGAAATATGAAAAAGGTCATTTAGAGCTCGATAATTAACCCCCCATTCCTCTTTCGTTGGTGAATTGGGCCCACTCTGTAAAAAAGATAAAGATTTAAAACACAATGTGTCATTTTTAATGCTATTGAAAAAAATAAAGCAAACTATTTAATAACTACATTTGTACATTTTAAAATGAGCAGAAATAGGGGGGAAAAGGCATACCATTGTATATGTTTTGCCAGAACCAGTTTGACCATATGCAAATATACAAACATTGTAGCCATCAAGAACCGACCGTACTAAAGGTTGGATATTTGAATACACTTCCTCTGTAAAAGTTATAACAAAGATGAATCAAATGATGGTGCTTAGTAGTATGAAATAATATATCCTCATCTATCTAATAAATTCAATGTTTATGTTGAAAGACATATAGAAGGGTAGATACAATAAATATGCATAAACAGAAAAATGAGAACCTTGAGTGGAAGCTGGACCAAACGCCTTATTAAAATTGAACATCCGACGCCCATCTTTTCCTTGTTTAGAGGGATTTACAACAACTACTTCACCATTTTCTCCAACATAATCAACACTTGTTGACTTTCTTTTTTGACCGGGAAGAAATGGCCTTATGCGACAAAAGACTCTTATATTCCCTAATCAAGTGATCAAATTGGTTTAGGAACAAAAATACAAATGATGAAGTTTAACAAACTGTGAAATGATATACAAATACATCTGCTTGATAGGAACCTTTTAATTCTTGGACCTCATTGAACAGTCTCCGATTTTCTGCTTGAATTGTATGATAATTCTCAGCAGCATCTACTAGTACTTTTAGCTTTACACCTTCATTAAGGATAACCAAACATGTTAAAAAGGATTAAAAAACCCGAAGCAAGAAAAGTTTAAATGCAAAATACTTATACCAAAGTTAGTCATTTCTTCCCTCCATCCTTTTTGTGTTCTGATAACTTCTTGCTTGATTGATTCAGATGCTACCCTCATACTCTGACAAAGAACAGAAAGTAAATTGAAGATACAACAAAATGGATCGTAGCAAGATATACAATGACAAACCTTGACAGATTGTAGTTGGGAGCCTATGAAGTTCTGAAATACATGTTCTTTCCTGTTCAACTTCTGAAATTTTGATTCTGAGAATGTCTCTAGCTCTCTCGTCCTCTTTCTGGATTCTGCCAGGAGGGATTCAGCCTCCTTTATTCTCTCCTCTAATTTTGCTTTGATTTCCTCTGAATTTCTCTGCAATTGCTGACAGCGGTTTTCATATGATTCTTTAACAGTTTCAAGTTCCTGCTTTAACTTTGAAATCATAGTATCACTATCTTCTTTCTCCTTCATCAGTTTATCCATATCTTGATCACCATGTTTCTTGCTTTCTTCAACTTTTGTCTTCTCTGTCTGCATTTGGATAAGAACTATACATTTAAGAGGATCGCCAGAGTAATGATGGTCTAAGTGGAAACAATAGATTGATTGGACAAAACAATGGATCCAGAAAAGCTAAGCATTCAGCTAAATTGATTGTTAAGGGTGAGGAAATTATCGCAACAAATTTATCAATAATGTGGTTTGTTTGTGAGACAAGAATCAGACCTTTATCTTCTGGAGTTGGTTTGAAACTATCTGGCACAATAAACAAGAGATTAGTTTTCCCCCCCTTCAAGTATAGCAGATACAGCTTAAATTTGTGAACAAGCCAATTTTGATCAATATTCGTAATGTACCTGAGTTTCTTCGCTTGTACCAGAAGCTAATGTCTCAAGTACTCTTATTCTTGATTGATATTTCTCTTCACGTGCTTTAATTAGATTAGTTTGCTGCGGATAGAAAATATGGTTAAAACTAAATATAAAAATGATGGAGATAGTAAAACTGTGATGAGCTTTCTTACACATCTTATATGATCTGCTTGAGTTGAAATGCGACGCTCGATTTCTTGTATAACTTTCCTCAATAGGCAAGCTACACGCTAGATGGAGAAAGAGTTACTCGTCTTAAAATGTGCCAAGATTGACTCACAACTAAGATTTAACTGCCTCAAAAACTTATTCACGAAAAGGAAAAGGAAAAAAAAGGTACTCATGATAAGGTGTCATAGCATAAATTGATTCACCATACATGAGGAATTTCCCCATTCTTCCTCTCGATGCTTCCATCGAGAATCCCATTAACAACACCTAGAAGTGACTGTGTTGGGGCATTCTGCATGAACAGAAAATTGTGTTTCAAAGTAAATCAACATAAATAAAATCAATGGGCACAATTTATGGTGACTTCTTATTAAAAAACTTACATCTAAACTGTTTGATTTCATCATTTCCGAGATCTTGGCAGCAGGAAGATCAGAAAAGCGTCCTTGTTTTGACTGGAAAACCTCGTGGAGCTTATTTCCGGCAGGATGCAATAATGCAGCCGACGATTCTGTGTGATAATTGTAGTCAGAAGAAAGTACAACCCTCTCTCAGCTTTTTGATAGTTTTTGATAGAAAGAGACACGTACATTAATTTTCCCCACTTTTATTCTTTTCATTATTATTATTATTACTATTGTTGTTGTTGTTGTTGTTGTTGTTGTTTATTTATTTATTATTATTATTAACATTTTTTTTGGGTGAGTGATTTGGCAAGGGGATGGAATGGTCCTGCAGCCTGCTACTAACTTTTCAAGAGATGGGAATGAGTACTTTTTGGACATCATGAAAAAGTAGAAGCCCATAACGGACATATTTGAGTAATTAAGATGCACGAAGAGGACACTGAAGAACTTTGCATGATGCACGAAGAGTTTCTTACTATCAACTGCCTTCTCAGATATGTGGCAAGCCCTTCCCCTGTCTTTAGCCTGCTTGACCAGGAATTTGACACCTATTTTGAGGATTGACGTTAGGTTGACAACCGATAATTCCCCAAAACATGTATGAAGCTTTTGCCCATAGCCAATTCCATATTTTGATAGGAAAATTCAGGTGCTTATATAACTAATTGTCGATGGCGATATATGCACAGACGGAAATAGAATAATAAATATCGAGATATTTCAAAATACTGTAGCCTGTAGAATAATAATGTCTCATTTTGCGCTTTTTGGATAACTCAAGCTCAAGGTGAAGGATACGGTCATCACATAATCAAGAGTCATTACTAGACATATTTTGTGAAAAAAATTACTTCGATTTCAGATATTCTAAGAATAGAATTCACCAACGTGCCTGACATGAAAGAGTTTCGCAAAGCATTCTGGAGTTTCGGTTCTGAAATGCTCCGTTTCATCTCATCTCCTGAAACTGGCGACTTAGGGTCGTTGTTCCTGGGGTTTCCGTGTGACTTCTCATCTCCGGAGATTGGTGACTTTGGATCGCACTTCTTTCTTTGCTGGCTTCCATACTTGGTGGCATCATTAAGTCCATCTTTCCCATTACCACAAATCATGTCCCTGAGCGATAAGAGACAGTCCACAACAGGAGACATAGATCCCTGATGCAATTAAAAGGTAAATAAGCAGGAAATTAAAATTAAAATAAATAAAAAATGTCAGTAACAACAAGCAATCAGACTAGGAGTTTAAAACAGAGTTAGGAGCCTAGTTCAATGCTTAAAGCCTGTCATGATATTCTCGGTCTGCAATAAATTGATAATGTCTAATTCCATCTCTACGATGACTGATTCCCTTATGTAGCCTATCATATTCGTCTGATTGCCCTCTAGTTTACATATCAACAAATTATTGGGGAATTCTTGGCATATACATATGAGAACAACAATCTTAAACAAGCGAGTTCCTATTCATACTGATCGAGCCAGGTAATATATATCGAGACAGATGAAAACACGTGCACACGCCCATTATAGACCGAATTATTAGGTGGAGTTCATATCAATATATAACTTTCAAGATTACCTGCTCCAAATCCGACACGTTGAATCTAGGCAGGCCCATTTCATCCACAGCTGAAAGGAACCTATTCACATTATATAACCTCTGCTCCGAGGATATAAAAACGCCCCTCTGACTCTGCATTAAGAACCCATATGAGACCTCTAACTGCAAATACAGTTTTAGAATTGTGCGTGTGAGACGAAGAAGAGCATTCAAATGTTCAATCACCTCTATCGAAGCCAGATTCTTCCCATTAAGAATAGCACACAAAACCACGCCATCCGACATTTCCTCTCTCAGCTCCTCCTCTGATGCATCCAATGGCATGAGGAAATCCGGGAACAACTTGTTCAGCCACTCAACAAGTTGCGATCTTTTCATCGCTGATTCCAAAGGAGAAACGTAAAACTTTTACAACATTAAAATTAAACTTTTTTAAAATAAAAACAAACAAACACAAATAGAGAGATATTCCTCACCCGCATCAGCTTCAGCATTCACGCTCTCCATTCTGTGACTGTAATCTGCCATGCTTTTTTCACAATGTAGGTCAAGATTCATAAGATAGCTTCATATCAAACCCTAAAATTGACACCAAAGTGAAGATCGAAGAGATCAAATTCCTCCGAGATCTGATCGGATCGGTGCAATGTCCGAACAGGATCGGGCCATTCGTCGACGGGAACCCTAGCTAGGAGATGTAAGGGCCAAAATTATGGGGACCGACGCTGCTTCTCCCTCTCATTTCTTTCTTTTTTTCCTCGCCTTTTTTCGTCGTAGTTTTTGGCTTTAACCGGCTCCGCGTCTCTCTCTCCCCTTAAACCGCGGGGGTCATGATGCTATTTTTATAGGGTCTTGTTGTCTCGAATCCCGATGTCGGAGAGGCGCGAGCTTTGGATATTTTGGGAAACACCGGTGGGGACTTCTCTCTCCCCCCCGCCCTCCTCGCCTCCTGCATCTGCATGGCTCCAAATGGATGAACGAGAGGTGTTCGCTCAGAAATGCACTGGATTTGGGGCTCGTGTTTTTCTGAAGTATATTACAAGAATGCCCTTATATAAATATGTTGTTATTAATATTGGTGCTGATTAAGGTTGGTAACGAATGAGGAGGACGTGTTTATTAGCTGCCAGCGCGTTTAGAGCATCTCCAACGGTTTTCCAAAAATTTCTCCAACGAAAGTCATATTCTCCAAATTATTTTTGCTCCAACTCTAACAGCTTCCCCATTTTGAAGAATTCTGCATTTAGTACAATAATAAAAACATTCTGCATCCCTATTTTGGGATGCTCTTATGCATTGGAACCGCCCTCATGGTTTTTTTTTTTTTGTAAATATGGATTTTGTTTTATATTTATTTTCTCCCCCAACCCGTTTTGAAGAACGTGTTGCATTTATGACAAAACATTCCCCAAATATTTGAAGAATGCGCCAGATTTGGGGAAGACTCCCATTTTTTCTCCTCCATCTCTATTTTGGGGAATGAGATGGGGAATCTGTTGGACAAAAAAAAACCAAAAATTCTTCAAAAGTAAGAATACCAATAAAATGGGGAAGTTGTTGGAGATGCTCTTATTTGCACCTACATAAACCTACACAAATTATTTCTCACGTTTGATGGAGATGACACCCGTGAAATTAAGGGAATCATAATAAGCGCAAAAATTAACTCTATGTGAGATTCATAAAATAGCCTGAAGGGTACAAGTGAATACACAATCAATTTGATATTGCTTATTTTTATCTGCTTATTTTTTTTTTCAAGAAGTAGCCAATAATTGTATTTGATGAATTTTTTTGACGTGCTGATTGAAACTGCTTATGCTTTTAAGTACGTATTTTTAGAAGTAACTTGCGTACGCTTTTAGAAGCAGCTTCTGGTTTTTTATTATATATACCATATTTTCCTTGTATCTTTTTAATAATGATCATTAAGCGAAGTTCTACCGAACATCTTAACTACTTTTTAAACATCTTTTGATATTTAATTTCTAAACTGCTATTTTTAGTAGCTTATTATATAAGTTGCTTTAAAATTTGCTTTTGCAAGCTACTTACTATAAGCCCCAGCAAAACCAAACTGACTCTTGGACTATATAAGAGAGAAGCTACAAAGAAGGATGGAATCATCAAACAAAGTCTCGACAGGACTCACCGTCCCACTCAGAAATAAAACCTCTTAGCCGAACAAGAAATACTCAAATCATTTTCAACAGGGAGGACGAAAACTGCTCAGTTTTCTACACACATCTCACTAACAATTTTAACTCAGTATATATCGCATCGGTGCAATCAAGAAATGTTGTACCAGTGCAATCTCCGAGAACATATTTTGTATCAATCTCGTCACCAACTTTAATATCTGCGTTGGACACGTGTTGCGATCTGTTTAGTCGCCGCGTGTTTGTCTACAAAAGAACCATACAGGGGCAAACCATGATCTCCACCATCTGTGCTGCTCAGTTTTCGACTGGATGAATTAATCTAAGAAGTCGTAAGAAGTAACAACCAACGCAGGCGATAAACTTCAATGTAAGATCAAGCAAAAACAGGTGAAAGACAAAAGGATGAATCCTTCAAGGAGTAAGTAGTGCTGTTTATGCTGCAAGTGTACCAGTAACCTCTTATCAAACGGTCATGAGTGGCACCATAGATCCTCACTCAACCTCATAATTGGCAATTGCAGTGCTGGGGCAAATTCTCTAAATTTCACAAAAAAGTTAAAAAGAAAACAAGAGAAAGAGATGGTATCTCGTAAATGTAACTCACCTGCATAATGCGTGCAAGCACTGTGTCAACTGGTCCTGGGGAGCACAACGCCAATCTTTACTTTGATTGAAAATTCCTCTTCGTACTACTACTTCTGGGTTAGCTTGAACAGGTCAGAAGTAAGTTATCCTAAAGAGTGGCAATATCCAGCATCATCGTCGACGATTCATGCTGACTTTCTAGGATCTGAAATATATCCCACAATAACTTTTTAACTATGAGCAGCAGCAGCCCTCGTCAGTCTTCGAAACAATCATCACAACCTCGTACATTTCACGTTGTTCTACAATTGCTTTTAAGCAGGAACATCAGCAAAACCAAACTACCAATGGCAGCTAGGACAGATTAGAGGAAGACAATCACACCAACACCTAAGCATCCAGATCACTCAAAGATCTATAAGTCAGTGACTACATATAGATAACAGGTAATTAACTGGCGGCTCTGATGCGCTGCTCCTTGATCAGTGGTATTTCCCAAATTTGGAAGTGTGAGCTTGAGTTCCAATCCATTTTGTATTATACGACAGCTCTTACCCAGTAACCAAGTTTTCGCAAAAAAGAGTATCTTCAAATTGATTCTAGGTATGCCCCAACTCTATTTGAAGGAAATTCTTAACTTTAATACTTATAAATTATAATGCTCGACATGATTTTGAAAATAAAAAAAGAGAGATTGGACTAAGCGAGTTACAAGTCAATGTTCCTTGTCCCTAAACCCATTTGGCTAAAAAATGTCAAGAAGGCTATTTTGGGATTACACGTGTAATTTAGAGGGCTTCATGGCTAAAAAAGTTTTAACATCCTTCACACTTTTAGAATAGCAATAGCATAGTGTATGTGCAAGGCACGTAGTCAAATTTAGTGAGAGATAAAAATGCTCCAAAAAGAAAAATGCTAAATACTTGTTAATTTTCACATAGTTTGAGTTGAGTGTCCTAATATTACAAAACCCACAAACTATTTGAATTAATAAAATCACCATGAAAAAAATAAATGTACTATAATCTCGTATTATTCCGGTCAAAACAAGGAACTAACTTCAATATCAGTACATAAATAAAAATCTCAATTGATACAAACCAATTGAAAAAAGAAAGCTACTATATCCTCGAAGCTGGTTATTTCATTCAAATGAAAGAACTTCGATCCCAGTATATCAATAAAAATTGCAAGTAAAGAAAAAAAATAACGCTCCTATATTCTCATAGTAGGTTATTCCATTCAAAAAATAACGCTCCTATACGATACATGAACAAACATGATTTTGTGTCAGTTAAAAGAAAAAGGATCCCATTTCGGTTGTGTCGTATACACCGAAAAATACTATTTATTAAAATGAAGAATCTTCTAAAATGCAAGTCTCAAAATCAGGTGGTTACGTCATATACACCAAAAAATACTAGTTACTAAAATGGGGAAAAAAAAATCTTCTAAAATGCACGTCTCATAATCGGGTAGCAATGGTGTCTGCAATTATTATCTAAAGTGACTGAGTTCATGCATCCACTCATGCGTATAATAGCATAACAAGTAGCTGAACGGGGAAACTGAAAATAAAAAAAGAGAGATTGGACTAAGCGAGTTACAAGTCAATGTTCCTTGTCCCTAAACCCATTTGGCTAAAAAATGTCAAGAAGGCTATTTTGGGATTACACGTGTAATTTAGAGGGCTTCATGGCTAAAAAAGTTTTAACATCCTTCACACTTTTAGAATAGCAATAGCATAGTGTATGTGCAAGGCACGTAGTCAAATTTAGTGAGAGATAAAAATGCTCCAAAAAGAAAAATGCTAAATACTTGTTAATTTTCACATAGTTTGAGTTGAGTGTCCTAATATTACAAAACCCACAAACTATTTGAATTAATAAAATCACCATGAAAAAAATAAATGTACTATAATCTCGTATTATTCCGGTCAAAACAAGGAACTAACTTCAATATCAGTACATAAATAAAAATCTCAATTGATACAAACCAATTGAAAAAAGAAAGCTACTATATCCTCGAAGCTGGTTATTTCATTCAAATGAAAGAACTTCGATCCCAGTATATCAATAAAAATTGCAAGTAAAGAAAAAAATAACGCTCCTATATTCTCATAGTAGGTTATTCCATTCAAAAAATAACGCTCCTATACGATACATGAACAAACATGATTTTGTGTCAGTTAAAAGAAAAAGGATCCCATTTCGGTTGTGTCGTATACACCGAAAAATACTATTTATTAAAATGAAGAATCTTCTAAAATGCAAGTCTCAAAATCAGGTGGTTACGTCATATACACCAAAAAATACTAGTTACTAAAATGGGGAAAAAAAAATCTTCTAAAATGCACGTCTCATAATCGGGTAGCAATGGTGTCTGCAATTATTATCTAAAGTGACTGAGTTCATGCATCCACTCATGCGTATAATAGCATAACAAGTAGCTGAACGGGGAAACTAAACTAGCCTTTTACGAAAACGAGACACAGTGCCTCTGGGAATAAAGAAACCAAAGGTTAAAGAAAGGAAAAATCACATGGATGGAGAAAGATATTTAACAAGAGAAGTGAGATTCACTTTCGAAAATGAATTTTCTGATCACAATTAAACAATGATACATACTGCTTTCGACCAAGTTACGTACCTTTTTATTTATGCAAAATCGAAAGTGGATGCATCTCATGTTAGATCTTATCAGATAAGTGAAATCCTGCTAAAGTAAATTTCTAAAATCAGAACCCGTAACTTGATTTTGTTTATGCTAACCAGCCATGTCAGCGGCATCAGCCTTAAAAGATTGTAATACAACCATGCTACGCGGAGCATGATGCCATGGTAAAAATAGAGGATTAGCAAAGGGAGATCGAAAGAGATCAAAGCGTAAATCCTAGAACACCCGCAAAATTGTACCTTCTCCATGAACATAAACAGATTATAATTGTGTAATGACAAAATATGGTTTCTTTTTTTTCTTTGGTAGCCTCCATCAGATACAGCTGATCATGATAAATAACCAAACGAAATGACGATCTTCTCTTAAAAGAAGAAGACTTATATCCTCTGAAGGAATAGAAGAAAAATACGAAGATACTAGTGCTATGGTGCCAAATAAAATCTGACGAGAATTTCATATACCAAATTATGGGAGCACAAAAGCAACAATATTGCATTTGCATCTCGCTAACTGCAGGAGACCCTGTTGAAACAAAACAAAGCTAAGGATCAAGACTAACAACAATACAGCCCACAAAATAATAGGAGAACATACCTTACGCGCATTCTTCGGATTATATGTCCAAACAACATATGCATCTGAATATTTCGTACCCCTCCTTCCTCCAAACAACGTATGCATTTTCCAAAATGCAGAAATAGGGAAAATATTCCACTTAAGAGCCCCATATATCCAGATTCTTAATATATCCAAACAACATATGCATCTGTTTATATGGTACCCCTCCTTCCTCCTATCAAATTAGGTTCCGTTGAAACACATTCCCGAGTACTGGAGCGTACACACAACCACCAACAAAACTCTACAAGTTCCCCTAGACATGGGAGAAAACCTAAGCAAAATGGTAAAAGAATTGACAGCTTACCATTGGAACTACATTTATACAATCTAGGGGTTTTGGTTTTTCATTGCATGGTCTTAAAACTACTTCAGAAATACGCGCAAAAACTTCAAATGTTGTGCCTGCTCATAAAATGAGTAAGCATTTGCCAATAATTTTTCAGACTTCTCAGGGTCAAGAACCAAAGTATTTAGTCTGCAGAAACTGACAACAATAGAATAAGCTACTGTCATCGATAACTTATTGTCATATTACGTTAGCAAAAAGTATAAAACATTTAAAAATTAAAACCCACCTCCTGGTCACAAGTGAAGAACATATCTATAACTATACAAACTTGACCGATAATTAAGGATGCCCACCCAAGTTATATTTACAGTCAGGCAAGGGCATACCAAAACTGCTGACAATGACTCTGTAACATGTGTTAGTTGTAACTGGAAGTATATGATGGGTAACTATATGTGAGGCTCATACATCAAAATTATTTAAACCCTAAAGCCCAAAAGGATGGCAAGAAATCCCCTTGCTAACAGGCTTTAATAACCTCCAAAACGCCAAGTTGAAGATAGCGCTAAAACATGAGCGAGCAATGCCTTTGCCATCACAAACTTTTAACTTCAAGAAACTGTTCGACCATAGCAAACAGATGCAAGGTATAGATTTTTCGCCCACTTTTCCTGCAAGAGGTGAATAAAAGTTGTAATTATCAGATATGGAATCATGATATTTGAATGATTATCGACCCCAAAAACACACACAATGATAAACCAGCAAATGCAAACCACCTTCACATGTTGGCTAGGAAAAGCTGATGTCCTAAGTGTTTCTTGCGTTTCATCTGAAGGTTTCCTTCTGGGTACACTTAAAACAAGTGCAGCTTGATCCCATGTAGCAGCAGTTGCAGTTATGCGATAGCCATTGTCCCATCTTCGATGAATACCTTCACTGGGGTACAGGAAGTCAAGTTCAACAACCTGGAGAAAGGGCATAGCTAAATGAGTAAACACTCCAGGATTCAGGTTCCATATATAATAATAAGGGTTAACTGCAGATAGATCCCCTGTACTTTCAGCCAAACGCGGATAGACCCCAAGTATTTCCACTGGTGCGGATCGACCCCTTGTAGGGTCTATCCGCACAAAAAGAACTATCAGGGAGTCCATCCACAATTGGTCTATAGTACAGGGCGTCTATCCACAATTAACCTTGATAATAAAGTGTATGCAAAGTAAAGACTATAACCTGATCTGAGAAGCCTGCATTCCGCGACATGACAATTCCCCATCTGGTGCCTGCAGTTGCCATGGAAGTAACGTAGAACCCCTCTCTCCATTTTTTGTTTATCCACTTGAACGGAAATGAGTCACTAACTTTATAGGACTGCTGTGCATACTGGGTACCTGAAGGAGAAGCTATATAGAAGTTATAAGCCTTTAAAACAACTTTCTAAAGCACAAACCCCATTATGGCAAGAAACTACATTGAAAACAATACCTTTAGACATTACTACTAAGGAGCTGCCATTGTTTGTCCCTGCTAATGCACTGATGTAATAATTTTTCTCCCACTGCTCCATAATCCATTCCTTTAAAAAAGGGGGACATACAAAACGAATTATTAATGAACAAGGATATAAGTGCAAATCTGTAGATGCCAGAATTGTAGTGTACCAAGGAACTCACTTTGTGAAGAAAATTTTGTGATAGCTCATAAACTTGAGCATTAAAACCAGTTCCTGCATCCATAATCAGAGCCCAGAGATTTGTACAAGAAGCAACACAACTAATGAATAACCCGTCTTCATTTCCTTTCTGTATATGCTGTGCAAACCTACTGTCTGCAACATTATAGTGATACCTGCAATAGAGAGGGGATTAGGAAACAAAAGACTCTTCCATCTGATGATACACCTTGGATTAAATCATATGTAACATGCACCTTTGTTTCATAGGTCTCCGCGCATTGTAGACACTAATCCATTGTGTTGCAGGCATCCCCATGCGAATTTTCTTCTTCGGTTGCTCATCTTCTTCTTCTTCCATCATTAGTCGGCCTCTCTTTTGACCTACCTGATATATAAGCTTTATAGAATTTGATTGATGATTAGATACTAACCAATTTGGGTTAAAATATGACTTTACTTTGTGCAAGAACCAGATTTGATTTGCGTAATGAGATAGGGGAAATTGATGCACCTTTTGAGCACCATCAGTGTTGATCGGCCTAATATCTGGATTTAGACCCACTATGCCATCGAAAAGAGAAATGAACTTGGCATAATTAGGCTCTTCATCGAACTTCAGATTGACAACATACTCAAGAAATTGTCTGAATGGATGAGGGCAAAAGCAACACAGAATCTCTGGGGATGTCGCCATCTTCTTCTTGCAGACAAGGAATCCTTTATTTTCTCCCTATAAGAACAAAATGACAGGACAGCTGAAACAAGAGAAAATTAAACAAAATGATTGTTTCCAAGGAATTCAATAGTTGTACCTGATAACCTTGCCAAGGTAAGCGGCCACGAAGAAGGAATACAAGTGTGTAAGCAAGAGATTCTAAATCATCTCTCCTGCTCCCTGTCCTTCCTAAATGAGCATGTGCACTAGCATAACGCACTGTTCCTCTGCAATATCGAGTTGTTAAATAATGAGCTACATTTAAATGTTGAAACAAGTCCTAATTATAACAGCACTAGCAGTGTCAAACTAAAGTTACCAACTCACCTGAAAACATCTGGTCTTTGATCATACTCAACATGCTGACCTGTAGAATTATCCTTCCATCTAGTGGCTGATATTTATATATCACAGCAATGACAAAATAAATTAGGTGAGAAACAATTTCCAGAAATACATACATCTCTTCCAAATTGTGAGAAATATCATAATACCTAAGCCAAGATCGACAAGAAAGAGTTTCTTCTCCTCAGGACTCCCATGTGGTCCAAGTAGAAAGTTCTCAGGCTTTACATCCCCGTGCACATATCTGACATAAGCAGTTGTTAACAATAACGACTAAATAAACACAAATAGAGCTGAAGAAATTCAATATTATAGTTTAAATAGTGAACCCACCCTTTAGAATGCACCTTCTCTAGAATAGAGATTGATTCAATAGCAATACAAGCAACCATTTCTGTTGACATTCTGCACACATCAGGGAAAAAAAAGAGAAGGAAATAAAACTCAAGATGTCAAGTTTAAGAAAACATGAATTGAAAAAAGGGTTTTTGATACAAAACCACCACAAAAAATAGTGGCTTTTCGGAAAACCACTACAATTTTTTTAATTTCATAGAGCCACCAGGAAATATAGTGGTTTTTCGGAGAACCACCACAAATTTTTTTTCTTTTCATAGAACCATCATGAAAATATGCATCCATAACAAAGTGCCACCAAATTATAATTTTGCATCTACATCATGTTAAACTAAATAATTTGCTAAATCCCTAAACTACCCTCATGGTGGGACCCACCAACCCATTATTCTATTTTCTCAAACCAACAAAATACCTAAGCACCGTTGATGACCCAGATAGTTGGGAGGTTCCAATATGGCTACCACTATCTTGGGTTCGATTCCTGGTCGCCTCATTATCGAAAAAAAACAAAAAAAAAACAAAATACCTTGTTTCCCTCTAAAACTTTGTTAACTCCCTCAAAAAAGTTTTAATTCCCTCCAAATACCCCACTCATACTCCCTAAAATTTTGTCATAATGAGCATTTATGTCATTTTATGCTATTGTTTAATAAAATACAGATGTAAATTATGACTTGGTGGGGCTTTATAAAAGATTCATATTTTCATGATGGTTCTATGAAAAATAAAATTTGTGTGGTGGTTTTCCAAAAAAACCAATATATTCTATGGTGGCTCTGTGAAAATAAAAAAATTATGGTGGTTCTCCGAAAAACCACTGTATTTTGTGGTGGTTTTGTATAAAAACCCCTTGAAAAAACAATTGAATATTAGGTGCAGAAACTCACGCATGAGAGTTATTATTCCAGACATCCCACAAACTAGGGCCCAACATATCCATCACCTACGCAATCAATGGTCTAATTATAGCAGCATGTATAAACATAACAAAAATAACTCATAACCAAGAAACCTATGTGTATTGTTCATTACCATGACATAATAGTCCCCTTGACGCCCCTTGTAATGGACATGAGGCACCCCATGAATACCACCAAGAGTACTGCATAAATGAAGGTCAGTATCACACATGCCCCGTCCTTAGATTATCAACACCAATTCAGAGTATAAGCCATAAGAACACTTACGTGTATACTTGCCATTCATAAGGTGGTCCATAGTTACAACCTTTACTGCTTCTGTGTTCAAACTTTAGTGCCACCTGAAAGCATAAATGAGAAAATTAATGGAGTCAACAGTTGGTTGCTGACGTATTCTTCTTGGAGGACAAGAATTGCTAAAGTTGATCTAGAAATACAACTAATCAGATAGCACACCTCAATAGCACCCGACCCTGTTATCCTATCATTTGCATTAGTAGCTGAAATACGACGACCAACATACACTTGTCCAAATCCCCCTTTTCCAAGTTTCCTTTCAATTTTATATACTGGTGAATTTGCAATTTGAACCTGTACAAGAAAACTCTGATCTGAGTACAAATGCAAATTTAAAACAGTACATAGAAGGGCATTATCAACTCTACATGGGCATATTAATATGTCAAAATAAATATAAGATAATCATCATCATAATAACCTAGCACATTAAAGCATCACGAAAAATTCCCTGATGAAAAGAAAAGCGCAAGAATTTCCAGTATGTCCCTCTTCCTTAAGAAACACTATACTTATCACTATCAGTAATGCTACCAGTCAAATGCTGAAATACTTACAGTAAACAAGGAGCAAAGAAAACTGCAAATGCGAGAAGTGGGGAAAAAAGGTTAACCACACATGGTAGATTATAAGGGTTCACATGTAGGTCGGCTTTCTGGAGGAGAAAGATTACAGATTGATGATCCAAACCATTCAGTATGATTGAAACTTTTAAAATCCATGTTTATAAAAAATGGCTTGTAACAGCCTCAGCAATAAGTTCAAGTCATCTAATTTCTAGAACAGAAAGTATTTCCCAACATCAGAAAGTATTTCCCAACATACTTTTAAGCCTCTGCTAAACTAGACTGAAAAGTCATATAGGCAGAACCCTGGATTTCCCAATATTAAATGTTAAAGAAATATCTAGAACCCATGTGGCACAAAAAAGTTGCACACATTCTAATTTTTTAAGGTTTCCTGGGTTTTGAAAGCCGCAAATTCATAATTTGACATGCATCTAAGCCACCCTCATAGTTCTGAAGTTCCGGCCAAATATATGAAACCAACGAAGAAACTGGTCAACCCAACTGAGCATAGATCCACTTTTGACTCTTAGTGACAAGGATAGTAGACTAGTAGCACACTCGTAGACTCCTTTTGAAAGGCTGGTAAGCAGCAATTATCCTATCACATTATCCACTAAAAAACCTCCAGCATATTTTATATCCTTTTCCAAAGACAAGGACCTCCAAGCCCCAGAAATGAGTTTCATCAACAATATCGGGCAGCAATGTGGTTTAGTGCCTTAACTATAAACTTGGCAAAATTTTTACTCACACCTGTATATCTATTGCTATTATTAAGAGACAGCGCCCTTTTGGTTCAAGTTTTTGGTGTTCTGTCCCTATGATATGCAAATAAAAAAAATTCCAATAGGCATCCTCAAAAACTTACAGTGATTTAATTTTATGCGGGGGACAGTTTTGGTAAATGAAAATAATCAAAGCTATCACCAAATTTGCATAACTGCTCCCGTCCCCGACATTCAAATGACCAAGTCTCAAAGAAACTCCCCAGCAATCTACTATCATCATCCTCCTCCAACGTCTCCTCAAGAACAAAAAAACACCATTCCCATTATTCCCCAAAACTCAATGAGAAAACCACCCTTTCTCTAATCCAATTATTCTCAACTCTAACTTCACCAACAGCACCATCCATGCATAAACCACAAGGGGAAAAAAATCCAAAACCAACTTATCTATACCATCTTGCTTCTCTCTGTCAACCATGTCCAATTTCATCCAACTCACGAGCAGTGGCATGTAAATATAAATTTAGTTTAGTTATTAATAGTCTTTTGCAGCATCCAAGACTATTATGCAATACTTTTTAGACTTCTATTTATATTAGCATAGGTTTTAATAGTACTTACTTTCCATTGCAATTCTCAACAATACTTTTACATAGGAACGAGACACATTTGTTCGGGATAACTTCTTCTAACTTATCTGCTTATTTTATTTTATTTTACAGGAAAAGTAAAGCACTTGGCACAATAGGAGTTCTGTACATTTTTTGTGAAAGTAAAAGAGTAAGTGAATATAATATATGTTCAAAACCGCAGCCTTTCCACTGTAATATTTTATGGTATTTGAACGGTTTTTATTTAGTAGCGAGCATGTTCTTGCTATACTTGAATAATATTTGTCTAAAGTCAGTTATCTAATAAAATAAAATGTGAACTCCGTCCATCCAAATTAATATATGGCAATATGTTAAAAAACTGTACGAATTTGGAGGTAAATTACGTACTCTGGGAAAATATTTTCTTTATAATGAATTATTATTTTGTGAATTGCGATATGTCATATACTCATATCAATTTTGGCAATAACTTGTATATAGTTGATACGAAAACAAGTATAAAACCCTAATTTCAAATAAAAATAAAAATAAAATAAAAATAACCTTTTCAGGCAACGGAGCTGCGCTCTCATCCTCAGGCTCTGGATTCTTATCAGCGCTCTTCCCTCCACTATCAAAATCATCCATTCTCCTCTCTCCAACCCCTTCCTCGTTAAAACTATTCCTGATGATCTCCTCGGCCTCCAGATTCAATTCCTCGCCGTCGACAGCTGGATGCTCATACGTCACAACCGCCGCCGTCTCCGTCGCCCTCCGATTCCTCGACGCCCCCTGGACGGTTCCTTTTGCGGCGCTACCGGTGTTCGGATTTCGGGTTCGCCCGTCCGTCCGCAACCGCACGCAGAACCGGCATCCAATCTCATGCCCGATTACGGCCGGCGACCGCAGTCGGATCTGCCGAAAAACCCTAGCTTGATTAGGGTTAGGGTTTTGGCGGGATTTTGGAACGCGCGTCGGAGAGTAGAGAGGGAAAAGGAAGAGAAGGAAGGAGAAAATAATTGAGTTGAAATCCGCAGAGTCGGAGAGGAGAAAGGATTTTTCAGCCAGGCGGTCAAGGTAAAATTGGAAATTGGGGGATTGGTCTTTGATAGCAGAGAGGTATTGCCTAGCGCTATTGCATTGACGAAAAAAAAGCCTTGCGTCTTTTTGCAAATGCATACCCTCACAAATTTTTTAAATTTTAGTTACGGTTTATCCATTACTTCTTTTTTGGGGGGGAAATACCGAGGCGAAAGAGGAGGAATCACGAGGTAAAAGGTCGATGGAGATTAAAATTTTAACCAGCATTTGTGGATAGATACGCTGAAGGATGGTCTTATCTTATATCATGATAATATTAATGAACTGCCATGTAAAAATATTTGGAAAAATTGCTTCAAGACCCTAAATTTATATTTTCAATATGCTATAGTCCCCCCAACTTTCAAACATGTGCTGCAGCCCCACCTTTTTGAAAAAATTATTAAAAACCCCTCTCCCCAAGTTCCTATGCAAACTTTATACACAATCCCCATTTTACCCTCCCCTACACACCCCTCCTCCTCCTCCTCCGTTCCCCCTCTGCCTCCGCCCCGCCTCCCTCCCCTCCCCCTACACCTCCGTCCCGAGGAACTTCACGTGGGCACATTAATGTTAACTCTTTTTCTGTAACATGTTAACTCTTTTCTGTAACATGTTAACTCTTTTCTATTAACTGTTAACTCTTTTCTGTAACATGTTAACTCTTACAGCTAATATGTTAGCTGTAAGAGTTAACATGTTAGCTGTTAGAGTTAACATGTTAGATATAAGAGTTAACATGTTAGCTGTAAAAATTAACATGTTATCTGTAAGAGTTAACATGTTACAGAAAAAAGTTAACATTTTACAGAAAAGAGTTAATATTTTACAGAAAAGAGTTAACATGTTACCGAAAAGAGTTAACATGTTACAGAAAAGAGTTAACATTTTACAGAAAAGAGTTAACATCCACTGACATAAGAAAGAGGAGGGTAAATTCGGGATTTAAATCAGCTGATATGTCTAATCATGAGCTGGCATGTCTAATCAAGTGCTGAAATGAGCTGGAATCATGATGGAGGGGCTTGGCCATATTTTTTTCAAAAAGGAGGGGCTAAAGAACATTAAAAAAAGTTGGAGGGGCTAGAGCATATTGAAAATATAAATTTGGGGCCTAGAAGTAATTTTTCCAAAATATTTTATACAGCCATTAATAAATTTTATTAGAGACAGATGGAGATAATAACATTGCAATATAGAGAATAACTTTTAACTTAATAAATATTAAAATATAAAGTTAAAAATTGAATTGATATAATGTTAATGTTGTACTAATTTAGAGCTGAAGTGGCTTGTATCAAGTTCTTATTTCTCCTCGTATGGTTATTTATTGTAAATGTCCTTATATATTGAATTTAGACTCAAAAGCCTTGATAGACTTTAATGTTAATAATTTCTTAGAAAAGCTATATAATTCTGTAAATTTGACATCCTTTAATTTCTTCATGCGTCAAATAAATTGGTTTTCATTTTATGGGCCCCCGTCGCATAATTCGGCCTGTTTTCTACAACGAGTCTGATGAAGGTGCTGCTCATTCAAGCCCTTTATGTGCTCGTTGGGCTCCGAATTGGCCTGTTATAACTAATACGGGCCTGATTTGATGGCTCATTGTTTTAAGAAAACCAATTTATTTGACGCATGAAGAAATAAATTTGTAGTATGTGAATTTACTTTCAGAGAACACTTTGTTTGCATCCTTAGTCTTTAGTGTAGGGGTGGAAACAAACCAAATAATTAACAAACAGTTCGATGGTTGCTCAAGCAAACATTTGGTTATTTTCGATTCAATAGTTTATTTAATACTAAACAAACAATTTGTAGTATGTGAATTCATTAACAAATAAAAATTAAAAATTAACCAAATGTATATTCAATTTGTTTGCTTATTAAATATTTATTTAAATTTGATCGCTTATAATTTGTATAATCACGCACATGAGGTTATATTTTAAACCCACTTATCATTTCTATTTAAGTTTTATATATTAATTTTGAGAGACTCTCAAATCATTTGTTTAATGAAATAATCTATTTGTTTAGCAATAAAAATATATGCTTTGATATCGATAAATATTTGTGAATGTTCATGAATATTTATCAAATAATAAGTATTCGAGTTTAATTTTGAAAAACACCAGATATGGAGGGCCAACTAGGGGATATCCTCTGGTAGCATACAACTAATGAGAAATTTCCATATAAAGGAGACACTCTATAAAATCTTTAACATGGAAGAGAATGGTACATGTGTTACACCATCAATATATATTTAGTTGTTTATCATGCTGGCTTATGCGTTTATATTAATTTCCTGATTGATTACACTCTTTTTTACTGTTTATACTGATTTAAATTTGATATACGAAGACCCGTGCGGCCTACCCTTGACTAAAAACTATGTTGTTTCGAGGTTAGTTTTAATTAATATGATAAATTAATATTAATATCAGTGTTTTTATAAATCAGCACAACAACAACAATAACAACAACTAAGTCTTTATTCTAAATATTTGGGATTTTTATAAATCGGTACAAATATTTAAAAATACAAGTATGATTATTATCAAACTTAAAAAGGCATAATACGCTTCTTCTACTTACCCCTTTTTTGATTTTTTTTTTTGTTATTATTTTTTTAAACACAGTTGGATATTATGTCACTAGTAAAAGGACAGGGTTTGGCAACCAAAATCAACATCTGATCTCCACGGAATCAGTAGGAAAATGACTTCCCAGGGCAACGGAGCAAAATACTTGGCGAAAATTTCGACGGAAGAATCTTTCTTAAAGCTCTAACGGAAATATTTTGTAAAGATGATATTGATTTCGAACACGAAAGAGATTATGGAATAAATGTTAGTGACAAACTTTATACAATAAATCGTATTTATTATTTGAAGTTGGTCGCAAGTGCTAATGAGTTGGAGACGACGCATCAAAATGATTTTTGGAGAATACTGAAGATTTTTTTGCCATCGATGCAAACTGCGAAAAGTTGAAGTTAAGGTACTGCGTTCTGTATTTTTATTCTGATGCCATCGGAGGAATATTATTTTTTTCAATGAGCAAGGTGGTAGCACCAAAATAAGTTATTTAGGGTAGAATATGGTATCACAATGAAATATATTTTTAACATTAATTGTGTTGTTATGTCCTGCCTTTTGTTCGGTCGATAAAAGGAGTCTTCCTCTCTATCTGAAAATGAAGAAGAAATAATGCTACTTGTGCTATTTTGCTACTCCCTTAGAAATAGAAAAATAGAAGATCTCGTGTTTAAATTAATAAAATAAAAACTTAATGACAGTACAAGTGTCTAATATTTGTTTAGTAGGCCAAATATCTCTTATATGGTTGGATATTTTAATTTCAAAACTTCATGAGGGGCAGGCTTCCCATACCACCCTCACATGAGGGAAACTTCACAAACAAAAAAGCAATTAGATTATCATTATCATCGTTAGTTAAAATGGAAGGGACAAAGCATTTGATGAGAAGACAAAAAAAACATAGAAATTAAAGATAAGAAAACATATTTCTTATAATAAGTTGAGCGTTTGGTTACCAGTGTGTTTTTTTCGTTTCTGTTTTTTTCTTCACAAAAACAATCACACGCGTTTGGGAACTAAGCTGTTTTTTTAAGCTGACCCTTCACCAAGTCCAAAAAATCCACGCTTTCCTCAAAACACCTAAAAGGTGTTTTTGAAATCTGTTTCTTTTTCTCCCCCAAACCCCCGATGCCCTTTTCTCCCCCCAGACCCCTGATCCCATTTTCCCCTCAGCCCTAACCCTCGTCGTCGCCTCTCCGAATCGTCGCCACTCCGCTGCCGCCTCCGACCGTTGCCGCCTCCTACTCTCCACCACATCCTTCGCCTCAAGTCCAAGTTGCAGCGGGAGATCTTGGACCTCAAGTCCAAGCTGGCCTTCCTCCGCCTCAAGTCGCCCCTCGACAACCACCATCTCCGCCTCAAGTCCCCCCTCAACAACCACCACCTCCACCACTCTGAAATCGCCACCCCCGACCCGTCGCCCAGCCATTGTTCTTCCCCTGAAAATTTGGGAGGTAATTTTTTTAATGGGTTTGAATTTTTGCTAATCATCTATGTTCATGTAGATTGTTTGAATTTTTCTAAGTGGGTTTTGTATGTGGATTCGTTTGTACAATTTTTGGTCAATAATTCATTTGAGTTTGTAGACGAATAATTCTTGTGTTTTGGTTACCAGAAAACAAGTTTGAAAAATAAACACCATGATATGTTATTTTTTAAAAAAACATTACAAAAAAAAAACACTTTGGTTATCAAATACACTCCAAGATTTCTTGTGTTTGATTCGCTTGTTAAGAGTAAAAAGAAAATATCTTCCCTCGCTTTTATTCCGCCTGATTTTCGCACGTGATACGCGGCGCGAGGCACACGTTCTCCAGCATCCGACTGCCACGTGTGCTGCCAGCCGACCACGTGCATGCTGACCCGAGATCACGTGATTCGCGTTGGGCCCCACCGGCGAGATATAGATGGGTAGGAGCGCGAGAAAGCAAACAAAATATAGTGTCATAAAAAGCTGAGAAATTGTGATTAAAAAAAATGTAGCCTCCCATGCCAAGCAATGTTCATTGGGCTTTTTCTTTTCTCTTTTTCAGTCTTTGCTTTAAATCCAAGCAAAAATAAAAATCAAAAGCGGAAAGAGGAGGAGATCGTGCTCATAATGTGGTGGATAATGAGTGTCAGCTGTAAATTGGTGGGCTTTCGTTAATAGTGGTGGGCTGC